CACCCATCTCCCCCTGCGCCAGGGTGTGGACCACCCCTCAACCCTGAGCTGGGACCAGGAGCCCCCCCCCCCCCCCATGCCGGGGTCCTGCCATGTGTTCCCCATTAGGGCTGGAGGTTAGCGAAGCCCCCAGCCCTCCTCCTCCTCCTCCTCCTCTCCCTCCCCCAAACACCCCTCTGCCCAGTCCAGGGGAGCCCTTGGCTGGCAGCCCGCACCATGGCACCAGCACCTACCCGAGAGAAAGGGGTTGCGCGTCTTGGAGGCTGGTGCAGGCGCGACCAGGGAGTCCAGGTTGACCAGGGAGGAGGCGGCGGGGCCGAGGAAGGCCTCGGGGGTTTTACAGTCCTTCCGCTCCTTGCCAGCTTCAGGCAGGGAGTCGGCCAGGTTGGCAAGGTCGAAGCTCTTCGCCCCATCCTGCCTGGTGCTGGGGAACAGGTCGCCGAAGGGGTCTAGCTCTGGGGTGGGGGCGAGAAGAGTTGCGTGAGCCAGCTGGGAGACCCCGAGGGTGACAGCGTCCCCCCGTCACCGCGTGGGGTGGCTGATGGCACATCACACCCCAGCTCACAGCTCGGTGCGGTGGGGCTGAGGCTGCAGCATGGCGTGCCTGAGCCCCCCCCCAGCCACTGGGGTTGGGACATGGGTGCATCCAGGACCGGAGCTGCCCCCTTGGCTGTGGGGCAGCCCAAGCCCACAGCACGCACGCTTGCAGGTGGGAACAAGCTTTGGCCACGCCAGAGCGGCCACGCAGAGCCCAGCCAGCCCTGGAGCTGCCTCCACGCAATGGGCAGGGACAGGTCACCGTCCCCACCTGCCCAAATCTGCCCCTGCCCTCTCTCCCCACTCTTACCGACGGGGCTGTTGGATTTGGCCGAGGAGGGTGGCTGCGAGGGCTCCTGCTCCGGCGGCTCGGCTGGCTCGGGCAGCTTTGCAAACAGATCGAAAGCGTCCCCCCCTGGAGCTGGGGGGAAGAGGTGAGACTCAAGGAGGGGAGCAAGCAGGGAGG